ACTAATCCTTCCTACTATTCTGTTGGCTTCCAAGGCTACAGTAAGCATGACACATACACTTTGAAGCTTACAGCTACAGTCAGAAGTCTTAGAAACATGAATCTTTGACTAAATGTAAGCAGAGAATGTTAGTATGCTGAATTCTAAGTCAAATACCAGCTTCTACTGCTGTGTGTCTTACAACTGACAAAATATATCTTACGCTTCTCACTGCATTCTCAAGAAGCTTTCCAACTGCTTCAAGTTTTTTCCTTTGATTTTTCACATGTAGGTGGGGCTAACACTGGTTACGACCCTCTGTGCCCAGAAACAGTGGCTGCATTTGCACAGAAAGATAAATGACGACTCCGGAAAAGTACATGCTACTGGACATGGTCCAATTACTTTTGCCTGGCTCGTCCCACCAGAACAATCAGCTAAACCAGGGTAGCAATATGGTGCCTTCAAGGTATTTAGAACTAGAGCCATCCATGCTGGCTTAAAGTTATGGAAGCTGCAGTTGAAAACATCTGAGGGCACAGCTGGACTAAACAATAAACTCTGGATTAAACAGAGAAGACAAGACTGAGGGGAGATATGACAGCACTCTTCATGTACTTGAAAGGAAGACCAGAATCTCTTCTTGCTCATCTCAGAATGCAAAACAGAATAACGGGCTCAAGTTACTGGAAAACAGATTCCAACTTTGCTAAGTGTTAGAGCAGTATGACAATGGAACCAATTATGTAGGGAGGTTATGGGCTCTCCTGCACTAGAGGCATTCAAGGTGCAACTAGAAAGCCAGTTGAGAAGGATGGTTTAATTGGTATCCTTCACTGAGCAGAGGGTTAGACTCAGTGGCTCTTTGGCCCTTCCAACTCTACTATTGTATGATTCTATAGAAAGGACAATATACATTCCTAAATAAATAAAAACCTAAAATATTAATATGACATAAGAATAAAATTGTAGTAAAAACCTAGCAAAATCAGTAATAATCCAAGTTCTAAAAAGCATTACAAAAAGCATTTCAAAACTGAACAAAAACACCTAATGACTAAATGATCCTGGCTTGTGACTCCCTTACAAGTCAGGACTGCTAAACCGGGTTTCTCTGACATCCTGACTTGACAAAGGAATGACAGGCAAGTTTCCCAGTTCGGAGAACATGCTAAACAAACCATTACTGGTTTGTTTAGCTGACTGTACAAGTGGGAGAAGCCAAGCAGGAGCAACAGGGTAGATGCACTAGACATGCAGCAACGAGATGATGATGCGAGCTGCCCCTCAACCTACAGTGTCCAATAGCTTGTGTGGACTGTGGCTCTGGCACAGGGCAGGCACTCCAATAAAAAAAGGTGGAATGACTGAGCCTTAGACCAATGAGAGCAGACGGACTGAAGCAGGGAGCAGGGCGGGCCTATCCATTTATTTCTGGTTTTCCCTATGAGAGCACGAACCTTGCGGTAAACTGTGCATCTAAGTGCTCCTTATGAGAATCTAATGCCTGATGCTCTGAGGTGGAGCTGAGGCAGTGAGTTGTATAATTATTTCATTATATATTACAACATAATAATAGAAATAAAGTGCACAATAAATGTAATGCGCTTGACTCACCCCGAAACCATCCCCCCACCCCCGTCCGTGGAAAATTTGTCTTCCACGAAACTGGACCCTGGTGCTAAAAAGGTTGGGGACAGCTGGCAAACAGGATGCTGGACTACACTGATTTTTTTTTTTAGTAAATTTATTTCCCACCTATCTGAGAATACTGAAGGGAGCAAAGAATACAGAGACTAAATAACAAGCAGAACTTCTAAGAGCAGATAAACACCAGATAAAAAAACCTACAAGATATACTAGATAGAGTAATAAACACTTGCCAAAAAATGAGGCTTCGAGAAGTGATGAAAGTTAATTAAAAGGGGTACTAGAAAGATATCCAGGTATGGCCAAAGAGAAATATGAAAAAACATACATTATCTGATGGATACAAGAAGGCTGGTATTAAATGTAAAAAAGTTATCCCAGAATATGGTATGAAATGGAAGATACACTAATGAGAGTGCACATGACTATGTTCCAACAAGATGCTGGCATATACATGCCCAATACTATATTTTGCCCATTTTTGGATCCATTCCACTTAGATTAGCCTTCCCCAATCTGTTTGGTACCCTCCAAACATTTTAGGCTACAACCCCCATCAGTCCTAGCCAACATGGCCATTAATCAGATATTCTGGGTATTTGACTATGTATGTAGTATATATACACATAGTTGACTATCTATATCTATCTATATATATATTCTCTCTCTCATTCGCTCGCACTCTCTCTCTCTCTCTCTCTCTCACTCACACACACACACACACACACACACACACACACAGAGCTGACTATAAATGAAGTGCATTTGACTACATCTGGAGGACACCAGTAGGGAAAGGCTGACCTAGATTAACACTACAATATTATTTGTACACTACAGAAAATGCAAATACTTGCATCAAAAATGTATTACTTTCTGAAATATGTTTTAATTTATTAAAAATTAAGACATTAAAAACACACACAGAGTTGCAAATACATGCACACAGGTTCCCAGTCCACAAAAGGCAAGTAGATACATCTTAAACCTACATAATCCAGTTAAGATTTATGTGTCTTTATAAGAGGGTAACATGCCCACATAGCCCACACACAACTAACCCCAGCTTATGTCAAAGTTCTTGGACTTATTTACCACATAGCATTCAAAAAAGTGAACATCATGTCCTTTTAAACAAATAATTCACACAAGTTTTGTACAATGACAGGTCAGTTCTCAGAAATAACAAGGAACTTTTTTTCTACCAAGCACAGCAAAATGCACAAACTACTAAACATCACACACACCATGAAAGTATGAAAGTATTATTAGGCAGCACACTTCACAGCAAAAATAAGGTAACATTTAGATATACAATTTGGCCTTTCACTTCCCCACTTGCATTAACTGCACAGGTGGCTTCCAGGTAGAAAACAAGATTTGCACAATGTCATTTTGCGACTCAGGAATGGGAGTGTTTCCAAACTGAAATTGTCTAGAAAAGTACAGTGGCCATTCTTGGATTGCTTAACCATGCATAATTGGCAAGTGGGCTAAAGGCACTTCACCTGATCCTGCACAGACCTCCCAATTCATGGGCTGTTTAACCTATGAACTGGTCTTACATGTGAATCAACTGTATACACACACACACTACATATGTGTGCACGCACATGAACACACACATACACTCCCCTATATCTTTCAGCTTTGTTCCACTCCAGCAACTATGACTGTCCATAACCGGCAAGAAGGAGAGGGAGGAAGCCCAAGCAAAGCTACAAAATGTTTCTCTTTATTACCACCTGTGACAAAAGCACAAGGTATCAAGCAAAAACTTTCCCTTTCTTCATGTTCCAAGCAGATGGATTAAGCAGTTAACACTCTTCAGTGTTCCTTTAAGAAATATCACTGTTAAAAGTGAAATTCCAAGTCCACCAAAGCTCACTTCCTATTGAATGCAGGTACACAAAACAATTAAATGAGTGGATTTTGCAAGATTATGCAACTGCATCAGCATCATTAAGAGGAAATATCACATGTGTTCATGCTCTGTGAGATCTCTGGAAATTATTGTTCAAAGGGCTTTTATTTCCTCTCTACATTGTTTTTATCTCTTTGGGCATATTTAATAACATGTATCTATTTTATCATTAAAGATCAGTATAAGAATGAATTTTAAAACCATTTAGTCCACACTATGAGGTATAACTCTGAATCCACCAGTTCACCAGCAAGTTTAGTTTCTTATGCAATTTTGGTGGTGTGCTGTAAGTAGAAAACTCTTATCAAAAGGCGAGACTGAAACTTTGGTCCCCTTACCCTGCCACAAACTGGAAGGAAATGTGAACCATTACTTAGTTTTGTTGAACCTAACCCAGAACAGAATGTTTAGATTTCAGCTGCCAATTCTGGATTAGGGTTAATATCACCACTGCCCACTGTTGGTACTACACTTAATAGTACCAACTTGAATTAATGAAAGCATGAGTCAATGCACTCTCTCAACCATAATACCAAAGCATGACTTGGCATGATGAAAATGAGCTCCTTGAAGGTTCATGATCAAGTATAGTTGCCTGTTCTCCTTCAGCAAGTATAATACCTTTTTTGACAGGCCAGTATCACATAACAATTAGTTTTGAGAACAAAATTCTCAACTTTAAAATCACGCTCTTCACAAGAACTTGCTCTGTTTAAAACAAACAGATATAGCAATAACCTGTTGCTATAAAGCATATACACTCCTGAGCAAGATAATAGTTCTAGATAAACAGCAAATTTGAGTTGGTTAATAGGCCTGAATAATTATTGACTAAGGCATAAGCAACATGGAAGAGTTTGATCTACCCAAGATCACTTGAGAGGTCACAGTCTATAAAAGGAACCTATTATTTCATGCATTTAAATCCTTTCTTAGCCACTTTTCAAGACTTCAGGCTTCCTAAGTAGCTTCTAGATTTAGCATTACCATTTGGTAATGTTTATCCCATGCTGCATTTCATACAATAAGAAACTCCACCAAATTTCAATTACAGGAGTAGGGAAACTTTTATGATAGACCAGTATATTGTATCTCCCCCTCCCCAGTTCAATGTAGAGGAAAACAAAACAACCAGATTTCAAAAAATGCATCCTTACAAAATGGCAGCAGGAAGAGCATGTAAGAAGCAGCCCCTAAAAAGTAATGATCTATCACTAAGGATAGGCTACTGGATGAAACACTTGACCTGATCTAGCAGAAACGGCGGGGGGGGGGGCACATGACAACCACCACCACTTGATGCAATTACATCAAAAGCAGCTGCTTCCAACATGAAAGTGAAACATGCCAGTTCACTGAATCTTTCAGGATGTAAAAAGTTAGCTATGCAAGGAACTCCATCCATCAGATATCCTTATAAAGACAACTAGACACCAGCCTTACTTACCTCATGCTGTAGGCACCAGCGCCTAGCTCTTGGCCAATACCTGAGAGGCTGGCATCAAAATCCTGAACCAGGCCCGATTCGATGACTTCATCTGCTAGAGGTAGCTTCAGAGCCCAAGCCATATTTGCACAGCACCACTAGTTAGGAGCAGAGAGACAACTCCTCCTGGACACTCAATATACTCTAGAACGGCCCTTGCAGGTCTTCAGACCCCATACCTATCCTGAAACCACCCCTTTAAAGCAATACCAGCCACATGGGGCATCGACAAATGCCCAATTACCCATTCCAGATGGTGCAGCCCACTGAGGTATCAATTTAAAGCACCACCTCTGTAAACAAAGCCTGCAACTCCAGATAACCCTTCCTGTGTGCACACCCACTTCTGGTCAGGGACCTCAATAAACTCTCCTCAAGAACTGAGAGTGCTGCCAGTGCGGAGCGGACACTTTTAGATGTAAGTCACCCACCACATGGACCCCTCCAAATCCCAGAGGGGGCTCTAATTACCCTTCCTCGAGCCCACCCAAGCTCTCCCGACTACGCTGATTCTCAAGCACGCGTCCCCAGGCGCACTCTGAGAAGGGGCAGACACCCTGGAAGGGCCTGGGGGCCCTCCAACCAGACACGCCAGCCTCCCACAACCTAGGCAGGCAGGCAGCCGGCCACAAAGCCCGCCTCTGGGGGACACGGCCCAAGCCCGCTCGTCTTCCTGTACCCTAGCAACGCGAACCACCCAAGAGCTCCAGCAGTCAGACTATCCTCAGCGCCCGGCGGTACCAAACCGCCCTCGCTCCCAAGCAGCGCCAGAGTCCCCAGCCAGTCCCCCGGCCGTTCCTACTACTCCTTCTGCCCGTCTCCGGCAGCCCCGCGCCCCTGCAGGCCACGCTTCTGAGGAAGAAAACGGGACTTGCCCTGGCGCCGAGCGCACTGGGCGCCCTCACGCCCACCCCACCAGCCCCGAGGCCTCCCCAACATGGAGGCGACAGAAGAGCGAGGCAACTCCGCTACATGCAGCAGCCCGGCCGGACAAGCGCGCCGCACCCCGCCCACTCCCTCGCCCGTCGAGCCAATCGCCGCTCGCCGTCCCGCCCACTTCTGCAGCTGATCAATCGGAACGCGAAAAGTGCAGGTTTGTGGCTTGTTCCATAGGCTGAAGTGCGAGCCCGCGGGGTAGGATAAGGAAAAGGGGCGGGAATTCGTGGGGTCGGCTGCCAGGCGCAGAAGCGTGGGCGAAGGGGACTTCTCCGTAGAACTGGGATGTTTTGAATAGGAGAGGTGTCGCGTGATTGATTGATTTTTCCGGAACGTTTCATGCTGGAGCAGTAATAGGCGAGATCGGTGAAGCTCAAACCTGTATAAATCGCTATAGGGATGTGCCTGTACTTGCTTGCCCCGAAGTAAGATCCGCACCGTCCTCTGAGATGTATTCCTTGGTAAGCGTGCACAGGGCTTTTTTTGTCATAGAACGCACCGGAACGGCTTTCGGGCACCTTTTTTTGACGGATTTTTCCATGTGATTGTGAATCGCCCTGTCGGGCGTAGCAGGTCGGCAGCAAAAAGTATTAAAATAGTGCCTGCAGGCTACGTGTGTGCCCGCGGTGCTTGTGAGGGCGCTGCTCGGCTCGGGACGCTGCTTTTCCCCTACTCCTTCTGGGCCAGCCTTCCAGCCCGCAGAAGCGCGCTCCGCTGAAGCCAGAGGACGATAGAGAGGAAGAAGGATGCTGGAAGGCGAGCGCTGCAGGATCCAGGCGGCGCCCGGGCACGGCGAGCGTGTGCAAGCGGGGGCGCCCAGAGGCGGGTGAGGGGCGCCTGGCGGGGAGCCGCAAGAGATGCCGGAGGGGGCGGGGTCGTGGAAAGGAGCATTTCCCCCTGCCTTGGGTATTTGCCTCTGCTGGGACCAAAACCAAACGCTGCCCCTATGAAGTTTACCACGCTGCGCCCGCAACTGAGGAGGAGGAAGGACGCGGAGGGCACGTTTGCAAGATCCAGTGCATGAAAACGAGCGCGGTGTAGGAGGAGGCATTTGAAACGGAGACCCGCATCGGAGCAGGGCCATGGCTGCTGTGGGGCTGGCTTTTCCTCGCCGCCTCTCTAGAGGGTCAGGCTGAAGGTCTCTTTATATTTCCTCGGTGTTGCAACCGGGCTTTCCCCTCCCTCGTCCCTGCCCTTTCCCCTATTTATTTCAAAAAAAGTTGGTGAATTGAAAATCTTTTTTAGTGTAAAAGTGTGACCCCAAGTGGTGAGTTCTGGCACTTTTTTTTTTTTTTTTTACAAAAAAAACACTGAGTGTGCATAAGAAGAGCCGTGCTGGATCAGCCCAAGAGCCCCTCCATTCCAGTATTCAGTTCAAACAGTTGCCAACCAGCTGCCCATGAAAAGCCCACAAGCAGGGCATCATTGCAGCAGCTCCCTGGTGCCCATGTTCCCCACCAACAGTTGTATGCAAGCACACTGCCTCCGACACTGGAAGTTGCCTAAATGTGTAGGACTGCAACCTTCTGTTCATAGATGCATATTATTTATAGTAGGATCCTGTGTATTATTATTCACAAGTAAGACCCATTGCAGTCTGTAATGTATTATGTAAACCAGCCATTGATGAGCCTTCATGGAAGTGTGAACTGTCTCAGCTGAACAGTGCTTGTATCTGTGGCTTATTCACAGTGGTGCAGCACATGGGTTGTATGCACTAAATCCAATGTTCAGTTCTCAGTGCTCCTGTTTTGGTGAGAAAGCTCTCTGTGTCCTTGCAGACACACTACTAGTCAAAGTCAATAAGAGACTCTGCACTGGACTAGTTGGCCCAGTGGTCTGACTCAGTGTAAGATACTTCTTTATGTGCACATGCTAGTTCAGGTTATAAGCACAGAAACATAGGAAGCTGCCTTATAGTGAGTCAAGACTATCTAGCCCTGTATTGTCAACACTTACTGGCAGCAGCTCTCCAGAATTTCAGTTAAGGCTTGTTTCACCTGGAGATGCCGGAGATGGAAGCTGAGACTCAGCACATGGAAAGCAGGTGATCTGCCACTAAGCTATGGCTGCTTCTCATGGTCAGTGAGTGATTAACCTCCATCCACACAGGTCCTTTGGAGAGAGTCCCGATGTGGGACTGTATTCCTCAGGAGCACTGTTGAAAAGGAGGCATGGATGGGCACTTGCTGAGAATTCACACACCAGCGAGTCTCTGGACGTGAGTTCCCTGGAGTTGTGCCTCCCCATTCTAGCCTGCCTGTTCATTTGCCTCTGGTTCTGGGCCAGACAACAGAGATGTGAGAAGGATGAGGAGCTGCTGCTGTTGCTTTTTTTTTTAAAGTTACTTTTAAGCAGTGCTTTTTTTGTTAAAAAGAAAAAAAGGTGCCAGAACTCACCTCTTGAGGACACACTTCTACACTAAAAAAGATTTTCAATTCACCAACTTTTTTTGAAATAAAGAACTTACTCACCTTTTGCACATAGCCAGTCACTCTACACACACATAAACATAATGGTCGCCACCGGCAGTAAGCACTCAGCGCGCGAACACACAACCGATCCCAAGCTGAGCAGCGTCCTGAGCTGATCAGTGCCCTCACAAGCAGCGTGGATACACACGCAGCCCGCAGGCACTATTTTAATGCTTTTTGGGGCTGACCTGCCAAGCCTGACAGGGCGATTCACAATCACATGGAAAAATCCGTCAAAAAATGGTGCCCGAACGCCGTTCCGGTGCGTTCTATGACAAAAAAAGCCCTGCTTTTAAGTATGGCAAGAGGTATATACATTTATTATTACTAGCCATAATGCTTACAACAATCCCGAGCAAAGTGAGAATTAAGAATTCTTATATTGCAGAAGAAATGAGATACTGTCTTGCCTAAAGCTACACAGTGAGTTAACACTGTGTTAACTCACTGTGAGTTAAGAGGTGAGATTCCTTATTTGCAGTTCAATCTTTGAGCCCCTATACTGCATCAGCTCTTTTAATGGCCAGGCTATCAAGCTGGTGATTAAAGATGACTCCTTCCATCCCAGTTCATGGTTACTTTCTAGACTTTGTTTCCAAATGCAGAACACTTTTGTTTTTGCATCTCGGTACTACCCTGGCCTTGAGTCAAGGGTAGAGAGAGATCTTGCTGGCCCCAGATCATTTGCACAATGCTGCCACCTCTAGGATGTGGTCGCCCTGGATTCATCTCCCTGAAGGACGATGACAGCAAGAACAGAATGGACAAATCAAGGAGACGCTGCACTTCTGCTGAAGGTTCCAAACTCTGTTCCAGGGGTGGCAGGAATGCGGGATGCATGGCCCTCACCCCTTCCTCACTGGTGAGAACACCACTGTGCCTTGTTCAGCTCTTCTGCAAAAATGCATGTGCGCTTGCTATCCCAACTCCCAACGTACAGCACAGCACATTTCTGTCTTTCTGCATCATGTGGATACAAGAACTGCTTTGCCAGATCAGACCGAAGAATTCAGAATTTGTATTTCATAAAGTGGCTGCTGTTGGTAGGCTAACTGGCATGAAAACTAGACGGACGCGCTGGCCTAGTATTTTTTGTGACATAATGCTGTTGCTTTGAGTAGTTCAGCTTTGTACTTGATGTAAAAACAAGCTTGATGTGGCCTATCAGGCTGCAATGGGGAAAGAGGCCAAAGGAAGTGTCATGAGGTCATTAGCATCTGAGCACATACTCAGGCCAAGATTTAACTATATCGTTCAATCTGCTTTACCACTGGAGTAAGGCCCTTCGGGAACTAGACATGAATATACGCTAGGCAAAAAAATATCACCATAGTTAGTGATAAATGTCTTGGTTGGGTGGAGATTAATACTGCCTTAAATTAGATTAAATTTAGATTAAATCCAACCTGTGTATGATTTGGAAGAAGGAATCCGCACTATTTAGTCTATTGCTCAACCTGCTCAGAGCTGTCGCTCCCCTTTCATCTAAGGCTAAGACTCACCTGGCCAGAATATTTGTGTCTTTGATTGACTTCTTATAGAAACACGGAAAGACCTATGGATCAGATCCTTGGCATTCCTCACCAGTCCCAGTGGCTCTAGGACCCTCACTCCTTCCCTGAAATCCTGGGCCCAGTCGCTGGCCCTAGTGCCTTTCCAGACCAGCAAACAAACCACAGCAACTGTTCTATCCAACAGGTAAGATTCAGGACGGCATGTTTGTTCCGTGATATCTGCTCTTCATGCTACAGTGAGAGAGCCTTCATGGAAGTGTGGAAGCAAGAGTGTGGGTACCTGCCCAGTGTCCCCCAAGGCTTAGGAGCGTGCACAGTGCAAATTCACAAAGAGAAGACAGATTAGTTAAACAAGCATGCACAGGAGTGGTACCAGGGTGGTGGGGGTGGGGAATGCTTGCTCAGTTTTTCAAGTTCACTGCAAAATCTACCCTCAGACAATGTGGATTAGTACTATTCACAAGTTATGCTGCTCCTGCTGTAAACAGCATGATAGCGCTCCAGCTAGTGTAGGAGGGCATCCCATAGTTGCCTGTCTTGAATCTTGGCTGCTACTCCCTTGTGAATAGGGGCTTGGATGCTGTCCTTTCGAGGGATGTCTGGCAAAACTAGTGTGTAACCCCCTCTCTCGCTTTGTGCATTGCTTGCCCCCCCCATGCTCCTTTACTGCCTCCATTCTATGGTCCCCAGTTGTCACTGAGTCTGTGTGCCACTGAAACTGCCTCTTATTTTTCCATGTTGTTAACTCTTTACATTAAATGTCTGTGTCTGCCTGTGTCTTTCTATGTGGCTTAAAACCATAAAGTTCAGTTTGAGCTCCTCTCCGAGTTTTGCTGTTAGATCTTGCACACCAATTGTCTCTTGCCTGATGGCCCACAAAACTCGGCCCAGCTGAGAGAAGGATGTAATTTAATAGAGGACCAGCTGTCTACTATGGCCTGCGCACAGCAATTCTATCCAATTTAGTTCTCATCCAAATATTTCCTGGATTAGGGAATAATCACCCTTTATTT